GGCTTACTGGAATTTCAAACTCAACAAGTCCTCTCTCAAACTCATTTCCTTAGCATCTCTCCCTCCTCTTCTGATCAGGCTTTCTCCATCTCCTCTTTTAATGAATGGCACCTGAGTCCTCTTTTCAGTCGAGCTAGAAGTTAGAAAGCTCTCTATCATATAGTGGCAAGCCCACAGGATATAACAACAGAACACTGTGCATTGTGAAACATGTGCTAGGGTTTGGTTTTGTTTTAACATTTTATTGTGCTTTAGGTGAGAATTTCCGCTCAATAGTTCATACACAAAATGTTCTGTGACATTGATTACAATCCCTGCAATTTGTCAGCACTCTCCCTGTTTCTTCCCTGCGATCTCCACTTTCCGTAAATCCAGTTTCCCTGACCTCTCACCTCCGGTTTGGGGCATATGTTACTCTTTTGGTCTTATGGACTGGTTTTTTTGTTGTTTTTTTTAACATTTTATTAGGGGCTCATACAACTGTTATCCCAATCCATACACACATCAATTGTGTAAAGCACATTTGTACATCGTTTCTCAAAACATTTTCTCTCCATTTAAACCCCCAACATTAGGTCCTCATTTTTCCCCTCCCTCCCCGCTCCCCCCTCCCGCATAAGCCCTTGATAGTTTATCAGTGGGTATTTTGTCATATCTTGCCCTGTCCGACTTCTCCCTTCATCCACTTTTCGGTTGTCCGTCCCCCAGGGAGGAGGCCACACACCATGCAATTGGTTCCCTCTTTCCTACCCACTCTCCCTCCACCCTCCCTGTTTTGCCACTCACACCACTGGTCCTATAGGGCTCATCCATCCTGGATTCCCTGTATTTTCAGTTCCTATCTGTACCAGTGTACCTCCTCTGGTCTAGCCAGTCTTGCAAGATAGAATTCCAGTCATGGTAGTGGGAGCGGGGAGGAAACCTTTAGGAACTAGAGGAAGGTTGTATTTCTCATCATTGTTACATCGCACCCTGACTGGCTCATCTCCACCCCGAGACCCCTCTGCAAGGGGATCTCCAGTGGCCTACTAATGGGCTTTGGATCTCCACTCCGCACTCCCCCCCATCATTCACTATGGTAAGATTTTTTGTTCTGATGATGCCTTACACCTGATCCCTTCGACATTATGGACAGGTTTTATTAACCTCTTTGAACCTCAGTTACTTAAGCTGCAAAACTAAGATTTTTTAAAAATCGAAGGAAAGTTAGAGTAATTGGAGTAATAATGCTATTAGAATATTTTGCATTAGCACTCCGAGGATTTCATATTAGTTTTAACTCTTGGGACTTACTCACTATATCCATTCATACATCATGTCCTGTGGATTCTGCCTCTGTGTATTTCTGTACTGGTTTCCCTGGATGCTTCGGTCAGTTTCCCCACCAACTGGACTTTGGGATAACTTTTAGCTCTTCTCCCTTATTTTTCTCACATCTCTACCATCACACAGCCACTCCATTTAGTAATGAAAGAAAAAAACACCACAAGAATTTATCATTTTCAAAATATTCACCCTCTCCCAAGAAATGTTTTAAGTTAGTATTTACGGATCTATCGTTTAGTCCTAACTGTCCTCATTGTCCTCAGGGGACGGGGCCTCAGAGGTTAGACAGTCTGAGCGTTAGGAGGCGTTATAGTTCCATTCCAGTAAATTGTGCTAAATTCTGGGATAGAAGTTCAGTTTTACAAGCCTTGTTAAAAAGAGGGAAGGACTTGGCAGTTTGCCCAGGAGAGAGGATATTCTGAAAGGATTTCACACAGTGGCTAAACTTCCATTTTTTTTGGTAGGGCTCAAAAAGCCCATGTTCTTTCTTAACCATTAAAGTACACTACTCAATCTTAAGTGATAATAGACTATAAATAGGGAGAAAGATACAAGAGCATTAAAGAGTGAGTCATAACAAAGACTCAAAATAGAGACATGAAAAACATAGCACATGTGTCAAGAACATTGAATAGTAAAGGGTGATTGGAGTTTAGGGTTCTGGAGGTGGAAGGAGGGCTAGGCGCTAGGACTGTAGATCAGTATTAATCTTCCCTGTATCTTCATCATCTCTCCTGCTCGGTTCTAAAACAATGCTTGTGCATACTTGCATTGCGGATGCTACTGTGTTTTAAATGCAGTCTTCATTTAGGGCCTCTAAGCTGCTGCTCTCTGCTCCCAGAGACATGGCTGCTGCTCGTTGTGTCTCCCTCTAGCCAGCTTGCTGTCGTTTCAGCTCCCCTCTGCCGCCTTGTATGTAATTTTCTCAGCCCATTTCTTAGCTCTCCTGTGGCCATCTTCCATCCTGTCTAATCACCTGGAGTGCAGGGGTATTCTCTGAGGCATTTCACCTTCTCCCCCAAAGGGGGGGGGGTGTTTTCATTAATAACACACTTAAGTGGTGACAGTCCCAGACAGAAGATAAACATAGAACATTCCCTGAAAGCCTCTGGAACAGTTCCTCAGGGTCCATGATTTACTGAGTATCAAGGTGAGCCAGCCCTTTGAGTGTACCATTGAAAACAACCCCCAAAGGGCCAAGACCTCCCAGGATGTGGAAGGCCCAGAAAGTGCTGCCTTTAGGTTGGCCTCGCCAAACCCTCACCAAACAGGTGCCTGTCTTTCTCCAATACAAATTTCATAAATATTTATGTCTTCCAGCATTCCATGTTAGGCCCCTAAAGTAGAATGGATCTAAAAACAGCATATTTAGTATTCAACACTTCCCAATTCTAATTCTTAAATTCTAGTTAAATTGATATATTGGATACTGATGATACTGCACCTCAGTCTTCGTTTACAGAAGGGCAAATAGAAATAAACAGAGGGCACAGAATTCCACAGCAACTCGTTAGCAATGAGCACCTCCACTACAGGACATCAGCCAATAGTTCGCTTAGCCATTATTATTCAAGGGAAGACTTTTTCATTTTATAAATATTAGCCATTCAAACTTTATACAAGAATGACTCATGAATATTAAATTTCTAAGTGAAGGTTACCCATTTGCATTTTACATATATATTCCAAAGAAAGGTATAAACTGCACAAATTATAGAACAGTATCATTGACATCACACATAAGTAAATTCTGCTAAAGGTCATTCAGTAATAGTTCCAGCAGTACACTGGCAGGCCAGAGTAAGAAGAGGACGTGGATAAGGCTCTCACTGTTGATACCAGATGTATCGTGGCTGGAAGGAGAGAATACCATAAAGATGCTTACTTGTGTTTCACTGGCTTCAAAGGCTTTCGGATGTGTGGATCATAGCAAACTACAGACAGTCTTTAGAAGAATGGGAATTCCAGAACACTTCATTTTGATCCTGCAGAACTTGTACATGGATCAAGAGGCAGTGGTGCAAAGAGAACAAGGGAATGCTGCTGTTGGAAGTCAGGAAAGGTGTGCGTCAGGGTCATATCCTCTCACCTCACTGTACTTAATCTATATGCTGAGCAAATAATCAGAGAAGCAAGATGATCTGAAGAGTTCAGCTTCAAGATTAGAGGAAGGCTTATTAACAACCTTTGATATGCAGATAATACAACCTTCCTCACTGACTGTAAGGAGGACTTGAAGCACATGCTGATAAAGATGAAGGATTGCAGCCGTCAGTATGGATTACCACTCAATGTCAAGAAAACCAAAATCCTCAGAACTCAGTCAGTAGTTAACATCATGATAAACAGAAAAGATTGAAATGGTCAAGGATTTCATCTTACTTGGATCCACAATCTGCTCATGGAAACAGCAGTTAGGAATCAAATGACAGATCACACTGGGTAAATCTTCTGCAAAAAACCTCTTTAAAGTATTAAAGCAAGGATGTTACTTTTAGTACTAAGGTGTGTCTCACCTAAGCCATTGGTATTTTCAGTTGTCTCATATGCATGTTAAAGTTGAACTTTGAATAAGGAAAGCCAAAGAAGAATTGATGCATTTGAATTATGGTGTTGGCTTGAATTATGATGTTGGCAAGGAATTTTCAAAGTACCATGGGCTGCCAAAAGAACAAACCAATCTGTCTTGCAAGAAGTACAGCCAGCGTGCTCCTTAGAAGCAAGGATGGTGACACTTTGTCTCAAGTGCTTTGGACATACAGGGAGAGACATGGCGTTCTAGAGAAGGCCATCATGCTCCATAAAATAGTTGGGGCATCACAAAAGAAGGAACACCTTTGACAAGAGGGATTGACATGGTGATTCATTGATGGGCTCAAACATAAGAACAGTTGTGAGGATGGCCCAGGGCCTGGCAGTGCTTCCTTCTCGTGCATATGGTCGCTATGAGGCAGAACATAGTTTGGGTTCTGAACTTTGAGCTAGAAACTTCTCAGGCTAGAGAGCCCAAACCCTTAGATTTTTTAAAAACACTTCCAGGATATAGTAAAATAATGTCACTGAAATTCTTTTTTTTTTTTTAGTGCGAGAGTGAATGAGAGAGTGAGAGTGAGTGAGTCAGAGTGTGAGAGTGTGAGAGAGTGAAAGAGTGTGTGAGAGAGTGAGTGAGTGAGTGAGTGAGTGGGTGAGAGAGTAAGTGAGTATGAGAGAGTGAGTGAGTGAGTGAGAGTGAATGAGGGAGTGAGCGAGTGAGAGAGTGAGTGAAAGTGAGTCGTCACTGAAATTCATGAACATAGAAGCAATTCACATATTTTAATAGCTTCATTTGTAGACATCACTCTCATGTTTATTATAATCCAGAGCTGCTCAGCTACTTGCATTTGTTCAGTGAATAGTTTTAGACAATGGCTGATCCTTGTTGCCACAGTTTGCTTACATTGCATCATTTGCTAGGTGGATTTTTTTCATGTTGTGTTTTTGGTGAAAGTTAGGTTCCTAGTTAATGCTTCTTCTTAAATTTCCAAGCGCAGTCCAGACTGACTAAAGAAAAAAATGACGGATGTACCGTTTTAATAACATAGAAACATTTAGGGGAAGGATCTGAACTTTTCTATTGTCTTTAAAATTCATTTTTAAAGTAATTTTTAATACATTGCTGATATTTTTCTATACAGTTACCCTTGGACCAGAAAGAAGAAAATCTGACTCAGGAGTTATGCTGCCAACACTTAGGGTCTCTCTAATCCAAGACCTGAGGTACTTGTGTACATTAGCACATGGGGATAGCTTTTTATATGGATGGCTTGCTCCTAAATTGTGCTTTGAAAAAAAGAATGACTGTGTATAGCTTAGTCTCTTAAGCTTATATATGCTGAAGAAACCACTTTTATGCTTTGTCATTTTGTCTGCTTTAGTTTTACACTGTTATATTCATTCCTTACATTAAACAGAAAAGGAAAATGTAGCCATGAAGAGTTTGAAAGACTCCCTAAACTATAACTCTTTTTGTCCTGTTCGCTTGTTTGGTTTTTTTCAGTACCTACTGCTTAAGTTTATGGAAAAAGATTTTTCTCTTTCAATCCCATTTTTCCCTGAACTTTGTTAAACCTTCTCAGACCAAAAATATGCAAATGATAGGTTACTTGGTTTGAAAAAAAAATGGTGTCTGGTAAATTAGCTTTAAGCATATATAAATTGGAGAATTACCACTTCCAGGTAGTGAAATTAGAAATCTTTACAAGGCATCAAAATAGCTTAAACTAGATTTTTTTTTCTTAAACTAGATTTACTGAAGAAGTTCAGCGAAGACTTTTGTCTTTCAAAAATGGAAGTATAGTACTTAACCACCTCTTAAATGTGGGTTTAATTAAGGTGGACACTGTAACAAATATAACACTTGTAACTCTTCTCTTAGGGTGTGTTGGTTAATATTCCTTGTCGATGTTTATATGGTTTTCAAATATTTGTGAGTGAAAGAAAAGCTCCTAAGTGTGGCAGCATAGACAACGGTGACGCATCTGGGCTTGACCACTTACTGGAGTTTGCAGATCTGTCTAAAATGCTCCTTAGAGGCAAGGATGGTGAGACTTTGTCTTTCACACGTGGGATATGCTGTGAAGAGAGATCCGCCCCTGGAGAATGATAGCATGCCTGGTGAAGTAGCAGGGCAGCAAAAAAATGGGAAGCCCTCTACAAGAGGGATTGGCACTGTGCCTCCAACCATGGGTTCAGACGTAAGCACAGCTGTGAGAATGGCCCAGGCGGACCTGTCCATGTTTCCTTCTGTTGCAGGGAAGGTTGCTATGAGTTGGAACTGACTCAGTGGCACTTAAAATAAAGTGTGTAACATGAGACAATGTTCATAAGGTCTCTAGACCTTATATGTCCCATATTTAAAATAGACTTAGAGACACTTTATACCCAATGGGACACCAACGCTGACCAATTCCCTCCTGAGAGTCTTCTGCACCCTATTTGCATTCTCCCACCCAGTTTGATCCAGTTGTTTGGTGGGAGTTTCAAAGACAAATAGAACAGCCATACCAAGCCATTACACTTCACCACACTTCTTTACCAATTCTGATACTGTCCCTTTGAAGACACTGTACTTTTTTGCTTTGCTCTAATCTGTTTCAATAGCCGCTCAGAATTCACGGGTAATACAATCTTGAGGTTTATTAGGGAGGTTAGCAAGGTACAAGTTCTTTGATTGGGGCATCTTCTCAGTTTTACCTTCAGGCTTGCCTCTCTCTGGTCCTTGGCTGCTTTGCCACTAACTAGATGTTTCAAAACTCTTTTAGATATGCTGATAGATGCCAAAGGGCACTCTACTTTAAGCCTCAGCCCACAGGTGCTTGGCTCAGATTCTGTGGGTTGGCAAACTTAGCTCTCCATTAAGTGCTGGGAGGCACCTTACTCACCAAGAAGCCTCCTGCCTGAAGGCACCTAGCTTCACTTGTTGCAATAGTCAGGAAACCCAGCCCGCTGTCTCCTACTCTCAGTGCTGCTGCTTCCGCTGCCCCCACTTCTCTGTTGTCACAGCTTTCTACCTCCTGGATCTAGGAGATACAGCCCACAAGGACCTGGAGTTCCAAAGGCTGTGTTTCACTCTTGACTTCTTTCTGACAGTATTGAGAGCCAGCCCCCACCCCCACCCCCTTTTCCACTGCTGAGATGGCTTACTTAAAACCCAGCTAAGGGCAAAACTGACCAATCTCCCCAGTAGACTTCTACACCCCCACTGTTTGCATGATCCCACCCAGTCATTTGGTGGGATCCCAGAGACTAAATTACAAAGCTAGCCATATCAAGTAATGCACTGCTCCACAGCTTGTATTAGCCTAAATCGACTTTAGTATAACCTTTGATAACCGACATTTGTTCAGGACTGATGCCCTATAACTTCTTTCTTGAATGTTACTTTGGCTTTCAAGTTTCAGGCTTTGGCTTGAAGAGAAGTCTAAAAAAAACCCCTGAGTTTTGTAATATGTAGTTTGGGCTACATAATAAAAGCTTTTGATAAAAGCTAATTAGTTGCTTGCTTTCAAAAGGTGTACAGTGAAGCACAAAAGGACTGCCAGAGAAGACAAATGGATTTTCCTGTGTTTTAATAACATATATGGTGGCACTCTTTTGAGGACTTCATATTTCGTGTGTGTGTTGTATGAACCTTAGGGGTAATTAGAAAATACTAACTCCTGCTAGCCAAAAAACTTACTTCAAACGAAACACACAGAGAGAGAGAGAGACTGACTTCAAATACTTGAGAGAAATAAGAAATCATTCGGGTGTGTTTGAGTCATCTTTCCATTCTGATCAAAATCATTTAAGAGCAAAGTCACAAGAACCTGATGAATCCAATGTGTTATTTCCCTAACCAGGTGAACGGGTACACATTTCTGTTTTGTTTTGTTTTTTCTCACCACTATGGGTATTTTCTCCCTGGAAGCAAAATTCAGGCAGCTTCCTGGGTCCCTCTGTGAGCTGAAGCAGCCTGAGGCGTGTAACTCTGCCCTGGTGACCTTCGGACCCTCAGCACTGGAGTGATGTACTCAGGGCACCTTTGGAAAAGTGTCTGTTTCCCCTGCCACCTCTTTTCTCTGCTTCCACTTTGATGCCTTAAGATGGCTTTTGTATATTGCTGCCCTCATTCATGATATGTTTACTTCAAAGTTTAATTCTCAGTGGGCAAGCTTATTTCCCTCTGCAAGTTCTTGGCAAGTACTTCATTGTAGCCCCTAATTGCTACCAGATAATTGATGTCAGTATTCTTACAGAAAAAAACACACAAAAAATCTAAAACTTTTTCCCCCAATCTGGACAATTAAAGAAAAATTTAGGCATTATTAAGTAGGCTGCTTCTGTGAACCTGTGCTGTCTGTTGGACATATCCCTCTGTTGGTACCTCCCATTGTTCCAGGTTGATCTCTTGAGGCAAAGGCATGGGCAGTTTAGGGACTTTGAGTCATCGTAGTTGTCAAGAGCCTTGGCACTGGATTCCCAGCTGGCATGAGTCCAGCACAGACATGGCTCGGCCACCCCTTTTCTTTTCTCAGATCATTCCCTGCATGGATACCAAGTATCCCCACACCATCTATTAGAATTATTTTGTTTTTCCAGAGTCAAAGGCTGATTGTGCAGCTCACCCATCCATTAAAAGTTTCATCCTGGTATTACCATTTTTTCTTGTTTCTTTCCAGAGTAGCCCTGGAGCTGTTCAAACTGACTTTTGTTTTTGATGAAAAGTTACTAATGATTAGGGACATAGTGGAAATTGTATGAGCTAGATGTTGCAAACGCATAGGCAATGAGCAAGACATCTGAGGAAATCCCAGGGATATTCTCTTTCTGTGATTAGAATAAATTATTGGAAGGAAAACTGGCTAGCACCTTTGTCTTTTTATAAATGTATGCACATGTGCTTGTACCTGGCTTTATTCTGCACTAAAATTAAGTATTCATGACGGTCTCTGTTTTACCCTGCAAAGGAATGGTTGAAGGGCGTCTTGACTTCAGGGATGGTTAATTTCTCTAATTCAACATCTCATTGGTGATGCAGTAAAATAAGCACCAGTTAATACTAAGTAAATGCAGACTCAAATTTAGATACTGTCACATCTTTTGGTTCTAAGGAACAGAAGCCATTCAAACTAGGGAAAACTATTGGAGCATCCGAGGGATGCGTTAGAATTCAAGCACAGGAAGATGATTGAAAGCATTCCTATCCTAAGGTTACCTTTGTTGCCTTATCAGAAGCATGTCGTTTCTGCTCCTCCCTGTGCAGACAAGGCTCCTGCCTGAAGCCACTTAGCTTTCCTTGCTGCACTGGTCAAAAAGCCCACCACCCCTCATCCTCTCGGTGCTGCGGCTTCTGCTGCCATGACCCCTCCTCACTCCCCTTCCTCTAGTGTTCCCTTTCCTCCCTTTCCTTCACTCTTTGTGGTGCCCTGTCTTTAACATCACCTCTAATAGCCATTTAACACAAACTAGCTCCATTTGCCAGTGTGCTGCTGATTGTCTGTTTGAGGAAAGATCTGACTTAGTGTAAATCAGGCGCGTGTCTCATCCAGGTAGTTCTAGTGGAGAAAATCTGGGCATGGGAAGTAGACGCCAATTGAGGTCATAGTGGTACCTGGAGTGTTTCTTCAGGGTTTAGGGAAGAGCTTCTCTGAGAAGGAAATGTGCGTGCTAACAGGAAGTGATGGATAGGAAGTAGGTGGCCAAGGTCTAGACTAATGTGTATTGTCTCTGTGACCGCTGGTGGGTCACTTTGTCCCATTGAGTCTGTTTTCTCATCATTAACTTGTGATAATGATGATCTCTCACCAGTGCTTGTGACAACCAGTTCGAACAAGCTCATAAAGATATTTTCTTTAAAACTTCAGAACTAGACACAAAATCAAATAAGGAACTTATTTAAAAGCACATGGTATTTGCTTTCTTTGGGGGGGGGGCGTTAAATTTTTATTTCAAAAGCTTGGATAGCTTCAATATCCAGGTCGTGGCAAAATCAGGACACGTAAAATACCTTACAATACATTAGATTCCCAAAAAGGTACCCCAAAGTACAGTAAAATTAACACTTCCGTTACAGGAGATGTATGACACAAATAATATAAAATTAAACGGTGAAAAAGGTGACACTGGTTTCCTAAGATACAAGTTTACTCTTTACCCACCAGCGCCTACAGGCCCAGGATACAGAGCGGCAGCAGGGTGCACACCCACCCACCCCTCGGGTTTTGGGGAACCTGGTATTAAATTAGGCCCACGATGCTGCTCAGCCTCTGATATACCACACACTGCTAACACAACTAGCTCTGGAATAGTAAACAGGAGAGTGGTTTCCAGGGGGAAAGTTTTAAATAAGACGCACATGGGACAGGCCATAGAAAGTTTGCCAAGTTAAATTTGGTACATAATTGTGTTCACTGATATCCAAACGGAGCGGCGTGGGCAGCTGTCGTGCCTGCCCCGGCCTCAGTGTGGCCACCGCGTCGCTGGCTCTTCCTGTAATTTGTACTCCCCTGACCTCCACTTCCACCACCACCGCCACTGCCTCGGTTCCCTCGGTGGTGGTTTCCACGCCCCCCCCACCCCCCACCCCAGCCGTACTGCTGCTGCTGGTAGACCTCTTTGGGCTGGGCCACCTTGATTTCACACTTGCTTCCACTGACAGTGTGAAACTTTTTCTCCAGAACTTTCTTCACAGGTTCCTCTTCTTTATAGGTGATAAAAACAAAGCCTTGTCTTTTGTTAGACTTTGGATCCATGGGAAGCTCAATGGCCTCAATCTCCCCAAATTCGCCAGAGTACTCCCTGATCTTCTCCTCAGTTTTCTTCACCGGATCCTTCATGGCCATGGCCTTTTTAGGGTCAATAACCGGACCATCCAGCCGGGGCTCCTCCTGGTCTAGTCCCTGCTCCACGCTGGTTGCGTCTTTGAAGAGGATGAACCTAAATCCTCTTGACCGTCCAGTGTTAGGATCCATTTTTATTGTACAGT